TTAACCTTCACCGGCCTTCACCACCTCGCACAGAATTCATTTGTAAATTATGTTTAATGTGGCGTCATTTCCACTCGTTTCACAAGCCATATTTGCATGTGTTTCACATAATGTATAATTTGAATTTGAAACATTTCTAGAAAGTCTAACTAATGTTTGTGTCTTGTGCTTGTCTCAACACACCCTAGCAGAATTTCTCAACGCAACTATATGTTCACCCTCTAATTTTAAGACCTTCTAAAATCTAATCCCATGTTGCCTCAGTTATCGTCTCTGTGCATGCCAACATTCAAGCCACTGATTCTAAAGAAGCCTCCAGGCTTTATGTTGTCATTCACCTCACATTCGGCTGAAACACAATTATGAAGAGTGTAATTACGTTGCGAAAGATCAAAGGGTTGTGCTTCGGTCTACAGGCTTGCTACTTAAAAATGCATTTTCCGTCTGATGTAAGTTTGATTTTTTTAAATGATGTTAAGTTTATTATTCTATAACATTACCTGGTAACTGTACAGGTCTTGCCAATTTAATGTGTGAAAGATGCACATTTAGATGATATAAATATTAAACAAGGTATCGGATGATTGTATTGATAGAGAATTAGTTTTTACAACGAGGTTGAAAATTCATGCGCAAAGCTGCAAAAAAAAAAAAAAAGGCATTCATCACACCAGTGTCCTTGGATTTGGGAAACGAATGACCACGGAGAAGAGAATCCAGCGCACTGAAGCAGGAATCCACAATGTAATGAGCTCAGTGTGTGCAAAAGCTAGTGTGAATCCATGGCAGGAACAGTGGAGCAGACTGAAAAGCAGCAGAAGGCATTACTCACTCTGTTCCTGCAACTGGAAAATGGGAGCAATCAGAGAGAGGGGAGGTGTTTGTGAGATCATTTCCTGTCTTTTTTTTTTTCTCATTTGCCTACCTCGACATGTTTCCACGTGCCAACAATATGCTAGAGAGAGAAAAAAAAAATCTATCTATGGGTAGCTTGTGCTTTCTGCAGGTAAAAGAAAAGACCAGCCTGGAGCTCAGAGAGGAGAGTCAAGCATAAAACTAAAACAGAGATGCAGTGATTTTCATAAACCTCTTATTTGCCATGAATGGTGTTTACCATACTTTCCACAGGCGCAGGAAAACTTTTTATGGCACTGAAAATTATTGAGACCACAGAAAGTAATACTGCATAAAAGCTTCTTTGTGTTCACTGTGACTCATGTTTGAAAATAAATTAAATATTTTGTACCCGTTCAGCCTTGCCTGGGGAAACATTCGTTTGAGTGCTAAGATGTTACCTGCTGGGGTTGGAGGTTGTAAGATAAAAGATGGGAAGTTGCCCAGGTTAATTCAGGTTAGTTCAGCCCGGTAATTTCGTGTGGACAAAGGACAGACCTGACTTGTGGAATGTCAGCACTTTAGAGAAGAACAAAGTGGGGTTCATCGTGGAGCAGAGCTCAGGATCAGCTGGGGGGAAGGGTCCTGATAATTGGAGAAATTGGTGGGGGCAAACTGAGCTCTTTTGTTTTGTGTCCAGCATTGGCTGGCTGCCGATTATATAGAATATAGAGACAACATAAAGTTGACTTCTCACTGGGAGTCAAGTGCCCAGTCATGGAACAAGTGTGAGAAAATGTGGTCTTTAATTAACAGCATATATACTGACCATTGACAAAAATAACAACCTGTACACTTGTAGTTTTGCCAAAAGATTTCTGGAAACTATCTCTCATCGCTGGTGTATAGGCCACTGACAACACTCCTCCAGCACACTCCTCTCCGATCTTCTCCTAAAATCCACACAGGGGCGTCTGCTCTGGATTTTGGTCTTAGCACCTTACACCATATATTCTCTTGTGCATTCCAGGTTAAAGCCCGCCTAGTGATGTTATTGATAGCCTTCCTCAGGGTGTGGCGAAACCAGCTCCACATTCTTCTCAGGATATGTGTGGCTGTTGGTTCCTGCTTTGTTCTCGTCCAGTTTGTCATTGGTAATCCTCTCTGGTCACTGGATAAGACGGTACCAGCTGTAGTTGTCTTGGATGTCAGAAAGCGGGTCAGCTTTGTAACTTCCAACGCTGCAACATGTCATACCCCATTACAGAAAAAATCCTTCCACGCCGAAATCTATTTGTTTTGAGTTTGCAATCAGTGTTTCTGAAACAGTTGTGCTTTTCCAGTATAATATGTTCTCTTTACCCGTTCACCTGTGAGCATGGGCGTCCCTAACAGAAGCTAATGTTCCCTGTAGTATAGGTCTCTGAGTTATTGAAGCACCAGCCAGCACACCATGATTAGAGATGGACCAAGTGGTGGAAAAACTTATACTGTGTTTTGTAATAATAACTGCAGGCATCCTTCTTAAGTAGCTACTGTCTAAGCCACAGCCGAGGACTGTAACCTGTATGATAACATCTGTCAAGTAGCCTTACCCAAAGATACTTGACATACAGGTTAGAGGAGCCAGGAATTAAACCACCGCCCCACTACAATAATGTTTTTCATTGTAGCAATACCTTAACATTCAGTGCAGTGTGTATTAATAAATGTCTAAAAAACAGAGCTTACAATCAGTTTACAGAATAATTATATGAAAGCTGGGGCACAGAAAAGCCAGAGCTTCAGCTGGATCTTCTCAGGGTTCTTGCAGTTCTCTTTATTTATTTATTTTTGCATTAGTCTGTGGAGACTTAAAAAACATTTGGAAAAAGGCAGATGTAGAGTTCTTTTTTCTCTTTTGGTCTGTGTGCTTTCATGTGAAGCAGTGTTTGTCATTAATTCAACATAATTCAGATAATGAATGTCTCCATCCCTTTGTGTGATGATTATGATGCAATGGTGTTCTGCTATAAAAGAAAAAACCCACTACATGTTACAAACACTGTTGCTATTGAAATAATATCTAATGAAAAACTGTGTGGTAAATGAAATAAGAATTAGGTTCTCCTAAACTGAGGCACACATTTTTATTGTTCAGTAAAAGGTGTCTTATCCCATTCAGGTGAGGGGAAAACAGCTACCACAGAGAGGATTAAATGGTTTAGAGGCTCATTATTAATGAATGAGATTAGGAAATACTGCGATCAGACATTTGGGCAAAATAAGCCCTCAAAGAGGTGGTAACTACTGTTAAATGAGTGTACTGTAAACAGAACCATGATTGTTTCTTTAAACCTAATCAGCTAGTTTTGTTGTTGCATGGCCTGAAAGTAAAACCAGAGAACTACATCTCCCAGCTAGCACGGCTGGTGAACGTGCTTTAGAAAACTGATGGGCAAAAAGAGATCACCTGGGGTACGCTAATGGTTATGGTGTGCATCTGACGCCTAAAAGCACTCAAAAAAATCAATGAGTGAACAAATGTATGACTGATATGATGTGCAGATGTACTGTAATAATGGTACAGAGGCAAGGACACTGTGCTCTGTTTATCAGGAACTCTTCGTGTAAGTCATCTGTCTGCAAACATGTCTCTGTTTGCTGTGTAATCCTCCACAGTTTCCTGTTGCTTTCTTTTCCAAATAATTATCAGAAACTGAACATAGGAGCCATTTTTGAGAAATCATTATTCCAGTGAAGAAGCAGCAGGACATGCTGGCATTTTTCGGTCAGTGCAGTACTAAACAAAAAGGATGCATGACAGAACAAGCATTATAAGAAAGAATGCAAACATCTGTTTACATCTGTTGTGAGATTGTACACATAAAACAGGAAACCGTGCTGCAGGTAAAGTTAAAACAACTGAGAGCACTGGTATACTATGAAGATCTACAAAAATGCATATTGGGCTTCCTAAACCTAACATCTAACAGTGGAAGGTGGAGGACATGCTTTCCTCCACCCTCACCACTTGATTTTAACTCATACTCGTCTACCTTATTTATTTCACCTCTGTAGCTCCACCCATGTAACTGTTGCCAGAGAAAAGTGGAAATTTCCAGTAATTCCTGCTGCTTTGCAAGTAATGCTCCTCCTCCTTCTAGTTTCCCGCCTTTCACTCTACCTGCTCTTTACTGCTTCACGCTGGCCTCGAGACCTCATGGCTCTGTTGCTCAACCTTGCGGGGCCCGGCAGTTTAAACATTTTTTTTCTTTGCACACTGAACAACTTGGCAATTTCTTGCACAGATTTTGTTTTATACTTCTAGTGTAACCTGCATCCAATACAATGCTTTACATTATCATTATAGATGCCTCATGTTTCTCTAAAGATGTCAAAGATTAGAATGGTTAATCTCCTTTTTATTCTGAGGGATTAGCAGATTAGCAGTTGAAAAATCCCTTTTCAAAGGTGCTGTTTGCACTTATCTTTCTGTGAGAGCTTGCCCCACTGTTTCTTGGTTTACTCTTCTGAAAACAAAGTATCTTATTGTCTCTATATTACTGGCAAAAACCGTCTGTAACTATTACATTGGCTCTTGAGTGATGAACACGGGGTAGTTTGGGATCACAGAGCAGATGGTAGATTTGCATTTCTATTTCTTTGGCTGATCTGATATTCTGATGTCTGGTTTGTCTCAGAGATCCTCCAAAAGCAAGCACGACTAAAACTGACACGTCATTTAAGATTCATCGAATGTGAGGAGCACTATGGTGATTACATAGAGGACCTCGGTGTAGTGTAGTTACGGGAAACAAGATCATAATGGCTCACGTGTTCGCAGACTGGGATGTCCATGCTATCTCTAAGCTACATGTGTGGTTTTATGACTTCCTCTTTATTAAAGAACACAATATAACAGTTTACATGATGATGTGTGCTAGAAAATCAGCTCGGACGAACTGCAAATAAAGCCACGAGACAGCTGGAGTGAAGAAGTTTTGAGTATGTGGATGGCAAGAGGCACACTGACCTTAGACCCATTGTGAAGCACCAACAAAGAGCCATCTGCACGGCAACCAAAGCTGAGATGAGGGACTTGCACACAGGGGGACAGGAAGGGGGGGGGGCTGGAGAGTAATAAAAGGCAAAACAAATCAGTGATAACGAAAAAAAAAATTAGACTTGATCAGTTGAATGATGTGTAAAACATCAAAAGAGAAAGAGGTCTGCACACATGGGGAACAAGAAACACAGATCTCTCCACTGCTGGTAAAGTGGAAGACGAGAGCTGCAGGCCTAATCACTCAAGAGCACATTTCCTGCCTTCTGCATGATGAGATGAAGCCAACTGAAACTGTCAAAGGCTAATATTTAACCCGAAGCTCATTCATTTTCAGCAGAAAACACACAGGGTTTATCTGCACACATATCCGAACTGCAACAATATCCCAGCCTGGCGGGTTAAAATCTCGGATGTTGAGCAGCTCTTTATTGTGGGCAATAGGTGTGCTTTGCAAAATGGTGATAACAAAGACAAAATGGTGTCAGGGACATCTGTAAAAAAAAAAAGAAAAAAAGAAGAAAAAAAGAAATCACAAATGTTTCACAGGTAAGGTATGAGAATCAGGATTGCTTAGCAACAGCAGTACAAAAAAAAAAAAGACTCGCTCATGTGTGGTAAGCAGAGAACCGGCCGTGCTGCCACCTAGCGGTGGCCTGACGGCACTTGCAGGAGGGACACCGGCACTTGAAAGCTCAGTCCTCAGAGGCATACATGCGCAGTAAGAAGAAGCTGCAGCTTTCGTGCAACGTGTGAACCACGCGAATGAAGAAGGGCTTTATTTTAAAAGGTGATATCATCTTCGTTTCCTCGACGCTTTGAAATATAGGCTCAAGTGATTTGATTGGCTAGAAAATGCACCGGCTCTCATGGTGGCTGGTTGCTTAGCAACGTCACTGGTGGGGAGGGGAGGGTGAGTGAGAGGGGTGCTTCGATGGGGGAGGGAGCATTGTGGGTGCAGACAGACTGACTGACTGGGGAAATACCTGGCAAAGTTCCCAAATAAACAAATAAGAGCGAAAAGGAGAAGGAGGTGGAGGGCAGAGCGCAGACAGAGTACAGGGGTATTTTCTGGTCCAGATAACAGTCCCGTAATAGTCGGCGGGAACAAGGCATTGTACTTCCAGCACAGTTTGCCCCCAGAGTAAGAGTGAGGTCAGCAAGTCAGAGCAGATTTTTTAAGAAAAGTTCAGTCTTTTGTGATATGAAAGTTGACCAGAACTTAAAATCCCGGTTTCTTTAAACAGTGTTTTTGGTTTTTTGTTTTATTATGAAGAGGAACTGAGAGGAACACAATTACTGCCATAGGAGGACATCGGCTGCTGTAGACGAGGAACAGATAAAGATGGGGCCCTGGACACATACTGAAGATGGAGAAGCACGTAGCTGCCAGATGCAACTTTGGATAAATAGCACATGTACCTGCATGTTCTCGTTTGCATGACTGTGGGTGTTGTAGGTGTTTCTAGGAACAGATCTTTGAATCCAACTGAAGTTGAGTTGAATTGAATAAAATAGCCTCAACCAAAGAGTGCAAAAAAAAAGAAGGAAAAAATGGAGTAAAAAAAGAAAAGGAGAGATGAAGAAAAAAGACCTATAAAATGGCAGCTGAGCTAAAGGAGAAGAAAAGGTGGAAAATGTGCTTATAAAGAGAGGAGGGGTAAAAAAAGAAAAAAAGGGAGGGCTGCTGCTGGTAGGTTGAGATCTGAAGAAGGAGGTGGGCTTTGGAAATGGCTGATGTAGGGCGGTCTCTACAGGCAATGAGGACTCTTTGTCAGGAGCAGGAAATGAGGTTTCTGTTGTGATTAAAAGGAAGGTTTCTATGGCAATGCAGAGAGCCGTGTGCACAGAGAATTTCTTGGCAGCGGAGGGGGCTAAGTGAGAGTCGAATGTCAAAGAAAGCAGCCTTCCTCCATCTCATCTCCCACCACCCCTCTGCTTTGCCACAGCACCACTTTTTATCTCTCATAATCTGTTTTCATAGACACAGTTAAGACTGCACCAGGGGGATTATCTCGAGCAAACCGAGTCACTGGTTGATCAGTCATTTATGTTTACGGAGTAGCAGTTTCACTTCACCAAATCGCTACTGTCAAATTAAATAAGGAAAGAAAGGTTTAGCTGAGAGGCTAATTAAAGCAAACAAAGAAAAAACAAACCCCACAAAACTGAAGATGATTAGCATAATGACCTGATTGTGTCTTTTCTTGTTTGTACAGACAGGTACAGTTTTCTCCACTTACCCCCCTTTGCCTTGTTCAGCCCACGAAGTAAAAAAAAAAAAAGCACAGTGGCATCAGTGTGACCTTTAAAATCTAAATATAGTAAAAATCTTTGTTTATTGTTTCACTGAGTTCAAATATATTTCTTTAAATAAATCCCACATCCTGATTTTCTATTTTCTCCGCTGGAGGAAGTTGCTCTCTGCAGTACGTGCCATATTTGCCCCGAACACAGATTTGATGCAGGATGTTTGGATAAGGAGACATTTCAAACTGGGGATCAAAGAGAATTTTTTAAATGCTGTTGATATTACCGACTCACGTGAAAATAATATGTTAATGTACCCGGTCTCCCTTCACTTCCAAACAGACCGAGTGGAAAAAGGGACTGATGTTAAATGGTTGATATGTGCGACAGCAGAAAAAAAGCTAAAGGGGAAGTCAGAGCTCAGAGTTTATTTGATGCTCTTCTGACTAATGATATCTATCTAATTTGCACCCCCCCCCCCCCTTCCCCTGGTTAACAAAAACATCCAGTTACCTGCATATTCTTCTCAATGATCATCATTTGTAAAATAAACAAAATAATATCTGAAAATAAACATTGTTATTCTGTTCAAAAGAATGTATTTAAAATCCCAAAGTACATAGAGCCTTAAAAGGTCCTAAAAAAAAATCACCTTTTTTATTCTCAGCATGTCAATTAGAATTACAAAAGGTTCTGCTGCCCCCAACCTTTTTGTCTGAGCATGGCAGCAAGTATCATGTAATAAAGCACTGCCAGGGAGGGAGGGCTGTGCTGGAACTGGATTGTATAGTCAAAGCCAGATGGCAAGTAACACATCAAAAGGACAGCTGGTTACTAGAGACTTTATAGCTCCTAAGCTAATTAGTCCCGCCTAAGCAAATCAGAGCTACGTACAATACAGCAGACCATGCCAATGATTCATCATAAAAGATGACAAACATACAACATAATTAGGCTTTGAAATGTTACATGTGGTAGCTGGTTCCATCAGCTATCACGGCCTTCGCTGATCTGTACAGTAAATGACAATGATCCTGTTTTTAAAATGTGCATCTTTACTGGACTGGTGGGGTCAGTGTTTCAGATTACTGCCTCTTCCGGTGGGTGTGATCTGACTCTGAACTGCAGACTGATCTTTGATGGTCTTGTTGCTGTCTGTCGTGCAGAACTCTTTCTCCAGAACCTGGAAATCAAAAAATCCCCCCCCAAAAAACCCCCAGATGAGCTTCAAAAACTGACCAGTGCATATATCCCAAATTATCATGTTGGGGTACATCTGGGACTTATTACTGCACTCACTCCCTTCATTATCCTTTGGCGAAGTTCCCCTTGTGAGAGTGGCCGTTCTTCTTCATCAGTAACAGGAGACTCTTCTGCATTATACGCCACGCTAATGGATCTAAGTTAGATGCACACATTCATCAACCCAATGCGTTGCATTTATTTATTTGCAAATACACAGTTCTGACCCAAGGACTACAGCAAAAGTAAAAGGAAAGATTTACAAGACAGCAGAGAGACCTGCTTTGATGTATGGTTTGGAGATGGTTGCACTGATAAAAAGATAGGAGGCACAAGAGCCGAAGATGTCAAGGTCTTCAATGGGAGTGACCAGGATGGACATGAAGAAATAGGGAAAATAGGGACTGTCCCTTATTAGGGACAATAAGGGACAGCTCAGGGTGAGCGGTTTGGAGACAGAGTTAAAGAGGCATGGCTTGGATCAGGGGTCTCAAACTCCAGTCCTTGAGTTCCGGTGTCCTGAAACTTTTCCATGTGTCCCTGTTGCAACACACCTGAATAAAATTACTAGGTCATTAGCAAGATCATAGAATTTGACTGCATGCTGAAGTGGCAATCCCTAACCCTACTGAAGTAAATTTAAGTAAATGTAAATGTTTGGAAAAATATATACTTCTAAAAGTACTTTTATTGCACCATGTTCATTCATTCATGAGCTGCTGTAACATGAATCAAATGGCTGAATTGCCACCTCAGTGTGCAGTCAAGTGCTATAGTCTTGCTAATGACCTACTAATTATATTCAGGTGTGTTGCAACAGGGTAACATAGAAAAGTTTCAGGACACCAGCCAGTTTGAGACCCCTGGCTTAGGTGGTTTGAACATGTGCAGAGGAGGGATAGTGAATATACTGGAAAAAGGGTACTAAACATGGATCTGCCAGGGAGGAGGAAGACCACAGAGAGGATTTGTGGATGTTGAGATGGGTTGGTGTGCCCAAGGAGGATGCTAGGGATAGAGTGAGAAGGAAGCAGTTGATCTGCTTCTCCTAAATGGAGAAGCTGAAAGAGAGGAGGAGGAAGAAGGAGAAATACACAGTTTTCAAAATGAACAGATAAACAGCTGACCTGTTGACTGCAGGTTGGATGCTGATATTCTGCTGAAGTAGTTTTGGATTCTGACCCAAAGGGAAGCCTGCTGGGTCTTCTAGATCCTGTAAGAGTTTTAAATGCAGAATCTTTGTATCACAGGAAAGAAAACAATATATACATATGTTAAAAGGCCAGCCTGATTACTTTAGTACTGAGGAACGCCTGCACAGTGAGCAGTTCGTTGGTCTTCTGCTCCACTAAGCTGAGGTAGGACATTATGTTGTTCTCAGTGATCCCACTGGAGGAGCCCAGCATATCTTCTATCGCTGAGCGGTCGCACTCTACTTTAGTGAAGATGTTGTTTACACCTGCGATAAGGAAGAGAAACCATGAACTGTTTAATTTGTTTTTTTAATAAATATCCAGGTGACAGCAGTAGCATGTTTTAGCTTTTTGTTTTTGCTTGTGATTGCTTGAGAGCTTTGATAATTTTCATGATTATTGGGACTTTCACTGCAAAAAAAGCCTTAAGGATGTATGGAGTTATGAGCAATTACTACTTGTAATGATAACAAAATATGCAAAATAAATCAACCTGTTTTAGTCTTGTCCAGGATCTCGCTTATCATGCTGGCTCGGTTCTCGTTGGCCTTTCTTTGAGATAAAACTCCCTCTAGTTGCTTATCAATATCTTGCAACAAAGATCGGTGCTGTCGTTCCTGCTGTAAACCTTTAACCCGAAACTGCTCCATGTCTTGTTTGATCTGCCGAGAGGCAAATTCCAGCACAAACAGACATATATACAGTGCACGTTAAAAACATAAATGAACAAACCTCCCCACCCAGCATACCCTGACATTTCCTAAACTTAATCATTAGCTTTGATCTAATTTCCTAATATTTCTTCGTCTTCCAGAGTTTTTTGTTGTTGTTGTTATTTTTGGCTTATTTGTAAATTGTATAACAAAAGTGTGTGCACACTGCATAACTGCACTGGGAAACAATATGTCATTTTTGTGATTTAAAGGGGGAAAAACACACTTACCTTGCTAATTTCTTCCTTCAGTGCCTCAGCCTCATTGGTTTGCTCATTAACAAAATTGAAAAGTGCAAAGTTCCGGTCTTCAACTGAAGAGCAAAACAGCAACACAGCAGTGAGACACCAAGTCCAATTATCCCTGTTTTCCAAGTGGGATCTTACATATATTGAATTTTACTGTATGTAGACAGTGTAAGCTAAAGTAAAAACAAAAAACACAGAGCTAAAAAGCTGGTTTGTTAGACTTACCCTGAATGTACCTGGTGACCAGCTGGTCCAGGTTCTCCTCCCCTGTAGCAATCCGAATCCTTTCAAACGCCTCCTCTAGAGCATCCAGTGACTCTTCTCCAGAGTCCATCCTGGACTGCTCTTTCGGCTCCAAAGCTATGAAACACAAAGCCCATCCCCCACCTTGTCAGTCTGGACCAAACTTGTTCCAAATGTCCCCAAGAAATTTACACACAGTCTTCTTTTCCTTTTGAACAGTTAAGTCACTAACCAGAAATGCAACAGCGATCCTTTTGAGATCTATATTAAAGCAGCCAGGGACACGCTGGCAAGACTGACTGTGCCTTCCCATTTTTACTGGTTTCTAAGCCAACAGCAAACTTGTTTTACTGAATTTTCTGCTTTGTTGTTGCACTTTTAAATATGTTATTCTATATTAACATTTAACAATTTGTTAATAGTTTTGCTGCAGGAAAAATTTAATTTTGGGGACCAAAAGAAACACTGAAAAGGATTTGCCAATTTACAGGTCATAGCCATGGAGATGGAGAAGACCACATAAACATACACCATTTGGACAAAAGCAATAGG